GGAGGGGAGGGGAGGGGACGTGCGCTCGGCGCCGTGCGCTCGGCTGTGGGCCGCGCCAGGAATGTGGGCTTGGAAGTTGGGCAGCTGTGGGCAGTCGTCGCGGTGCTGATCTGGCCTCTGAACTCTAGTTAACCTTGTCATTTTGTTCTTTTTGTTAGTACTAAAAGTGACTGTGTATTTTTTTTTTTTTTTCCTCTATCCACCCCCCTTCCCTTTTTTTTTCCTGGGTGGAGAAACAGGAAGTTTTACTAGAAAAATGCTAATTGTGTTAGAAAAACTGTTTTTCATTAAATGCACGGTTTTCCAGTTTAACCATATAAACCTTTGTGTGTGGAAATGAGTGAAAAGCGTTCCACTGTACTTTCAGTGTCAAGTTTTCTAATGTAGTTTCCCCTCTAGTGTTCTGGTGGTGCCATTGGAGATTCCTGTTGTAAACCCTATTTAAAAAACGCACTCAGCAATAGTTGGCTATTTCGTAATTAAGTAGCATGTTATTCTGTAAACCTTGAGGTAGTAATTTATTTAGTTGAACCTGTTTTGCTGAGGGAGAGGAGAAAAACATTAATTAATACGCTGATGGTACAATTAATAGTACTGTTGGTGACATTTTACAAATGTATATGTAGGTGGAGATTTCACTTTTTAAATCTATTTGCATATGTGAAACTTAGTTGTGAACTAAGAATTTCAGCTAATAAATGCGTTTTGGCAAATCTGAAGGCCACTGAAAGATGAAATCCCAATGTATGTAAGTTTGCAATTTTCTAAGATAAAAGCTCGCGGTGCTTCCATTTCATCTGTTTTACATCCTGTAAAACCTCCAAATGGTTCATATTCTGAATTCTTTGGAAGTTTGTTTTTTTCCCCCCAGGGCAGTTTGGAAAATATTTCTGCCAATATCTAAGACATTTTTCAAGTTGTCAGTGTATATGGGTTTGGTGGTTTTATTTTATTTTTTTAAAAAGGCATTCTTATTTTTGCAGACATTAGCAAAAATAAAATGCAGTAGATAAATATTGAATAGTATTGCCAGTGGTACATATTTCTTTTTGTAATCTCTTTTCCTTCCTGTTCCTCTTTGTTTTCTTCAGTGGCATTAGCTGATTTGAATTCTTTCTCTTTGGGGATTTTGCTTATCAGAATTAACCATGTTCTCATACACAAGTCGCTACTCAAAACATTGTTAATTGATGTAGGTGTGCATTAAAATAATTTATCATATTGTCACATTTGCTTTCAATGGTTATGGTTAGTTAAGACTTGACTTAATTATTAGTTTTATAAAGTTTCCCACACCAAAATACTGAAATTTGCTTTTTCAGTTTTAAGGCTTCCCCCCTCCCCCCACAATTCCTTTCAAAATAAGTGGACGATACCGTATTTATTGTGGGTTTTTTTGTGTGTGTGTGGTTTTTCCCCCCCAAACTGGAGATGTGTCCTGCATGGACTTTGAATGGGTGGAGGCATTTCGTCAGAGCAGAGGACAGAAATCAGTTCTAAAGGTACTAGGCACCTTAAATAGGCAGGATGACATCCATTTGTTTTCCTTTTAAGGCGGAGTGTTGAGAATCTTAGCATAGTTTAAATTTGAATTTTAATTCCTGTTATTACATAGTAATTTCATCTGGTTTTATTGAAAATGGTCTGATCAGTAACTATATCTAGGTACATGCCAGAGAAGCAGCTGAATTGGTTTCCAGCAGCCTGTTATGTAGGGACCAACCTACAGCTGTAGCTTATATGATGACCATACAACTTGTATGGCTGCCTTTAGCTCAGTTGTGTTTTGTTTTGTTTTAAATATATCTTTATTGACTTGAGAGAGAGGAACAAAGAGGGAGAGAGAGTTGAAACATCAAAGATGAGAGCTGCCTCCTGCACGCCTCCAACCAGAGAACAGAGCCCACAACCCGGGCATACGCCCTGACCAGGAATCAAACCTCAATCTCTTGGATCCTAGGTCGATGCTCAACCACTGAGCCAAAACAACCTGGCTGGGCTGTTTTGTTTTTTTAAACTCTGGAAAGGTTAATAAACTTGAGCAGTAAACAATTTCAGTTGTAACATTGGAGACAGGCACGCATGCTTAGGGGTGAAATGGTATGCAGTGTTAATTTATCACTTATTGATACAGTTAAAATTTAGCTTTCCATATTGGGAAGTTGGCATTGATGCCCAGGATCATCAGAATGACTTACTACCATTAACCACTGCACACGTTTTACGTGGAAACTGCTATTTCTGTGGTCTCTTCCCTTCCAATGTTAAATGGGTCTGAATTTTGTTAAGTAAAACAGTGGATAGCAGTGTAGAGCTACAAAAAAGCCTTGATTGTTACCTATCTACTTTCAGAAAAAACCAGGTATGATAGGTAGTTTCATTGTGTTATGGGAAATTCGGTTTTGTTTGATAGGAAATGAGCAGTGTTGCCAAACAAACTATGAAGAGTTGACATGGCTTGAAGCTGTTAGGTCACATTCTAACTTGGATGTTTTGTGTTTTAAAGGATTATGTGCCTATAATAAGATAACTACGAAGGTTTCAAAGGTATTCTGTGTAAAAGTTAAATTGGCACTGTATGTTGATTGTAGCAGTAGTTTCCCAAAGTATATTCCAGAATGATGAAAATAATCTTAGATTTGTAACGTGTTAGCATAATAAAACATATATTTGCATATTAAAACCATGAGAAATTCTGAAGTAAATATGATGGTTTGGATTTGTTTAACCTAGCTCTCCCTAAACCTTGGCCACAGATTTTATTTTTTTTAAAAATATATCTTTATTGATTTCAGAGTGAGGAAAGGAGAGGGAGAGAGAGAGAGATAGAAACATCAATGATGAGAGTCATTGATCGAGCCCGCAACCCGGGCATGTGCCCTGACCGGGAATCGAACCCCGATCGCCTGGATCCTAGGTCGACACTTAACCGCTGAGCCACGGCTGGCCGGGCATTGGCCACAGATTTTTAAAGAAAAATTTAAGATTATATTAACATTTCCAAATGTTAGTTTTCTGTGAACATAATGAAGTATTCATATTGTGATGACCTAGATACTTTGCTGTTTTATCTGGAGAATTAGTTACCTTTGGTAAATCAGCTGGGAAGGAGGTTTACTATTAATGGTTAAAAAAAGTGTGTGAAAGTCATTTGGGCTTATATTTAGGATGTGCTTTTTACAATTTGTGAGCCCTTGGCTTCCTTAGGATTATTATGAGAGTTATATAATGTAATGTGTGTGTGTGTGTGTATATCTATCTATCTATCTATCTATCTATCTATCTATCTATCTATCATCTATCTATCTATCAATCATCTATATCTGTATATGATACAGTATAGAGACTGGTACATGAAAAATAAATATTATGAATAATGTAAAGTAAATAAACTATAAAATATTAAAAATATTTCAATTTTTGCTGGCCATCTTTATGTCTCTTGGTTTACTTAGCAACCTCAATATCAGCTTGTTCTTTGTTGTTCATATCAAGAACTGAAAAGTCTTATTTTATTTTACCGTATTTACAAGCTAATAAGTTAGTATGTTAATGCTTCATGGTTGCTTGCAGAAAACAGGAAACTCCCCAGGTCAGAAACATATGACATTATTACTCACAGCACAGCAAGCTGCATGATCATCAGCACATTTGTGTAGGTTTTCCTTGCCACCAAGACGCATAAGGGTGATGGGTCTTAGATCAGGGGTAGGGAGCCTTTTTTCAGCCAAGGGTTTTTTGGATATTTCTGCATTTGGGTATTTATAACACCATTCGAAGGCCATACAAAATTATCAACTTAAAATTAGCTATGAAAAAAGCTCCTAGCTTTATTAAATTTTGAGTCCCTCCTGTGGTAGCTTTGGCAGGGCCAGATGAAATGATACACAGGCTGGCCACATGTTCCCTACCCCTGATCTAGATGGAGGCACTAATGGGTCACATCTGAGGAACTCAGGAGCAAGGGTCTGGCACTTTTTAGCAAGCAGAAAACATTGTAGCAAACAACAAACAAGCTAGTTCACCTTTCCCTGGGAGGGCAATTACGTATTGTAACCTTGACCTTCTTTGTTGCCTATGTTACTCCACTCAGTGTCAGGAAATAGATAAGCTTCACAGACTGTCACACTCAACAAGAATGTGCAGGGACACTCAGGCCTTGCCCAATAGAACATGTTCTGGATGAGATAATAAATGTTGATTTTTAGGTGCAGAATTTACTTTTCCATTTTAAAGAAGTATTGCAGTCTTTTACCGTATGATCTCTAGTTATTGCCTTCTTTTCTTGGCACAGCTCAGTTCCTTTGATCTTCACTTGTTTG